GCCCCCCCCCCGGTCACCATCTTGTGACTGGAAGCCCCATCCCTAACCTTTGCCACCAGAAGTCCCTCCCCTTGTCCCCAGAAGTATTCCTTTCAGCAAGGGGTTTTGCTGTCTTGGAATCCGAAAAATACCAAATTATGTTCTAAAAATCAAACACGTACAATATTCATTAATCTGATTTAAAGAAAAATATTTTTGTCCTGATTTACATGTGTTCGTGTAGTGTACACAGAAGTGATTGTATATAATAGCTTACAATGAAATCTTACTCTTGTATATTGTGGAGGGGGTGCAGGCATGAGGGAGGATGTGGGTGTGTGGGTAGGTGGGTATGGGGTTTGTGGGGGAAATGTGTGAGGAAGTGTGGGTTTCATAGACATCTGGGCTGGAAGAGACCTCGAAAGATCATGGAGTCTAGCCCCCTGCCCCAGGGGCAGGAAGTCAGCAGGGATCACAGGACCCCAGCAAAATAAGCATCCAAATGTGTCTTGAAGGCATTCAAAGTGGGTGCTTGAACTGCCTCTGGCAGCAGGGTATTCCAAACCTTGGGGGCTCAGACAGTAACAAAGTTCTTCCTTATGTCCAGCCTGAAATGGTCATGGAGGAGTTTGTGACTGTTTGACCTTGTTACCCCTTGGGGTGCTCTGGTAAAAAAGACATTTGCCCAGATCTTGATGGGCACCCCTGATAAACTTAATCAGTGGCCACCAGATCACCCCTGAGCCTGCGGTTTTCCAGGCTGAGGAGTCCCATGGTTCTCAGCCTCTCATCATACAGTCTGTTTTCCTGACCTCTGAGCATGTGCGTGGCTCTCCTCTGCACCCTCTCAAGCTTCTCCACATCCTTTTTGAATTGTGGAGCCCAAAACTGGATGCAGTACTCCAGCTGCGGCCTCACCAAGGCCGAGTACAAGGGGAGAATGATGTCCCGGGATTTGCTTGAGAAGCATCTATGGATGCAAGCTAACATTTTGTTTGCTTTACTAGCCACAGCATCACATTGAAGGCTCATGTTCATCTTGTGGTCAGTCACGACCCCCCAAGTCCCTTTCATTTGTAGCGCTAACCAGCGTAGCACTGCCAAGCCTATAAGCATGCTGCAGGTTTTTCCTCCCAAGGTGGAGAACCTTGCATTTTTTGGTATTGAACGCCATCAGGTTCTCGTCCGCCCATTTCCTGAGCGTGTCAAGATCTGCCTGGATCACCCTCTTGTCCTTAGGTGTGGATACTTTACCTCAGAGTTTGGTGTCATTGGCAAACTTGGCCAGTCCATTTCTGACACCAATGTCCATATCATTAAGATCTTAATGAATATAGGCCCTAGGACAGAGCCTTGAGGGACCCCACTGGTGACCATGCACCAAGACAAGTGGCTTCTGTCAACCACCACCCTCTGGGTCCTACCACGGAGCCAATTCCCCAGCCAATGGATCACGGTGAGGTCGAGGCTGCAGTTAGCCAGTTAAGCCAGTTTAGCCAAGAGGTGATCATGGGATACCAAATCAAAGGCTTTTTTGAAGTCAAGATATACGACATCAATCTCTTCCCCCTTGTCCAGGTGATGGGCCACCTGGTTGTAAAAGGAAATGGGATTGGTCAAGCAAGACCTACCCGCAACAAACCCATGCTGGGTCTCTCTCAGGATATTGCCTTCAGCTAGTCTGTTAAGGATGGCTTCTTTGATAATCTTTTCCAAGACCTTCCCCAGGATAGAGGTCAGGCTGATGGGCCTGTAGTTTGCCAGATCTACTTTCCTCCCTTTCTTGAAGATAGGCACGACAGTGACCCTCTTCCAATCTTTGGGCACTTCACTAGAATGCCAAGAGCTCTCAAAGATCCATGCCAGGGGCTGAGCTATGATGCTTGGCAGCTCCTTGAGTACCCTGGGGTGTAACCAGTCAGGGCCGGCTGACTTGAAGGTATCCAGCCTGTCAAGGTGTTTCTTCACAAGGTGAGCTTTGATGGAGGGCAAGGAATCTCCCTCACCCAGGCCTCCCTGACCCAGTGGGCAGGGGCATCCCATGGGTCTGGTGAAAAACTGATACAAAGTACCCATTTAGCAAGTTGGCTTTTTCCTGGGCATCGGTTGTCAGTTGTCCCATCAGGTTTAGCAGGGGTCCAATGTTACCCTTGCTTTTCCTCCAGCTCCCCACATATCTAAAAAAGGACTTTTTATTGTCCTTGATACTTGTAGCTAGCTGGAGTTCCATCGCAGGCTTGGCTTTCCTAGTTTGCTCTCTGCAGGTCCAGACCAGAGCAGAGTATTCCTCCGCGGTGGTGGTTCCAGTCCTCCATCCTTTGTATGTCTTCCTTTAAAGATGCAGGAGGTCCGCCAGTTCCCTGGACAGCCAAGGGGGCTGCTGTGCCCTTTTGCTGTCTTTCCTCCGAGATGGGATGGACTTTGCTTGTGCATCCAGTATTGCTCCCTTGAGGAGCAACCACTCATCCTGAACTCCCCTCTCCTTTGGGTTGTGGTCCTTCAGAGCCTCTCTAACAAGCCTCCTGAGCTTGTCAGCTTTCCTGAAGTCAAGGACTTCTGTATTACTGACTGACTTGCCAGCTTTACAGCAGATGGTGAAGGTGATCAGCTCATGGTCACTGTCACCCAGCTTCCCTTTGATCGTCAGGTTGCCAGTACGAGGTCAAGCAGCGCTTTACCTCTTGTCGGCCTGTAGACTTCCTGCATCAGGTAGAGGTCATCCATGCATGAGAGAAAGCTTTGCCACCTGTTGGATTTGGCTGAGCGCCCCTCCCATGAGGTGTCTGGGTAGTTAAAGTCTCCCATGACAACCATACACCAGGAGCATGCGGCCTCAGCCAATTCCCTGGTGAACTCCTGGTCAAGGTCTTGACCCTGGGTAGGGGGTCTGTAGTAGACTCCCACCATAATATCCCGTGACATGTTCACCATGGATTTTAACCCAGAGGGTCTCAAGTCATCCACCATGGGTGCCAATGTTGGCTTGCAGGGGCGCATAGCTTTCCTTGACATAGAGAGCTATGCCCCCACCCCTTTTGTCCACTCAATGCCTCCTATACAGGATATAGTCATCTACACCTGTGGTCCAGTCATGGGTGGAGTCCCACCAGGTCTCTGTTATCCCTGTGATGACATAATTATTTGCATTTAGAAGGAGGACAAGTTCCTCTTGTTTATTCCCCAGCCTCCTGCAATTTGTATATAGGCATGCAAGCGTCCCCTTGGGGGCCCTTGCCTTCAGTTTGTTCCAGGGTTGGGGCAGGGGTGGGATCCCACGAGTGCCTTAGACTGTTGGCTTTGCAAGGGTTGCTCAGCGGGCCAGCAGTGGTGGTAGTCTCCCCATCCCCCAGCAGGCTTAGTTTAAAGGCCAGTGGAGCAGGTCAGCCTTGCTGAGAAGAGGCTCCTCCCCAGCAGAGACGTGGAGGCCGTCCCTTCCCAGCAGCTCACTGCCTCTCTCCCCAAAGGGAAGGCTGTGGTCATGGAAGCCAAAACCTTCCTGACTTGCTGAGGTAGTAACACTGACAACAACTTCCTTGCAGTTGACAACATGAGGAGGTGCTAACTTTGTTCAGATGATATTGCTGTTTTTGAAGTGTATCTTGGTGCTTGTCATTCCTTATGCTTGTCCCTTAATTTAAGCAGGGACACATTGCTCTCCAAGGTAAACATTTCTAAAATGGCCTTTCTTCCCAATGCATCTTTTTTTCTTTTTAAAAAATAAATCTGGCCCCTACTGTACAAGGCTGCACTTTGTCTCAGTGCTTAATAATGTGTAAAGCTTAGTCTTGGCACATATGCTCAAAAGCCATCCTAACCATGTTCTAACTGGAAGAGGAAAGGAACAAAAATCTCATTGACTGGAAACTTTTTGTAAAAGATGGGTTCTTAACATAATTTGTCATGGTGTTCTGTAGAGCGTCCTTGACCCAAAGAGAATACTAAATTAAAAGGCTGTCTGTGGAGGTTCTTCAGCAACATTTCCTGCTTCTCAGTATAGCTTTCCTGGCCACAGAAGGCAGAGGAGGAGATCCAGGTAAGAGTAGGAATTCCAGTGGTATATTTCTGACACAGAAGCACCTCCCAAGCTAAGGGTATGCCTGACCTTCAGAGCCAAACAAAGGTGTCAGACTCATCTGGCTCCATGGGCTGGATGGAGGGTCCCCGAGCCATCCTGCAGGC